GATCTAATGTTTGAATTTCAATTATTTGTTAAAATGTAGTTTGGATAGAGAAGAGAGTTATTTAAGATCATGGAGGAACACCATTGCTGCATTTACTCGAAGATGGCCTTGAAATTCAGTATTGGTTTATTTGTAATTAGTTTAGCAATCGTTCTGATGGTTCGTGTACTGTATGTTATATACCGGTGTGGCAAACCGTTTCCGAAAGGAGCTTCAAAGTCATTTAGTACTCTTATTGTTCTTGGTTCTGGTAAGAAGGAGTTAATACAGTGTCGTCTTATTCAATTGGATTCATGTGAGGTGTATTACATGATTAGATGAAATGTTTCTGTGTGTTGTTTTCATTAGGGGGACACACTGCAGAGATGTTGAGTCTCCTCTCTGTTTTGCGGAAGGATAGATTTACACCGAGGTTTTACATTGCTGCAGCTACGGATAACATGAGTCTCCAGAAAGCTCGTAGCTTTGAAGATTCTGTAGCTGATAAGGTTTAGTTAAATCCTTAATTTCAATTTCGATTTAAATTCTATCCTTCCTCTTTNGATTTTGCTGCTTCTTGCTTATTGTTATTGAGAAGGCTTCTTGTGTTGTTATTACTGGCATTTCTCAGCATGAAACTGGATAATTCTTCAACCGATTTATTGATTCTGTTTTTATGCTTGATATTGGCTGTGATATAGCCTGCTGTTAAGGAAGGCTCCTTACAGTTCATGCAAATTTACCGGAGTCGAGAAGTTGGTCAGTCTTATGTGACTTCTGTCTGGACTACTATTGTTGCTATTGTTCATGCTCTGTGGCTAATGATCCGGATCAGACCACAAGTGGTATGATCTTTATCTGAATGCTTTCAGATCTTCCCAAGGCTTCTTCATAAAAACATTTGAATCAGGTTATTTATTAAATCTGGTTGAAAATTTTCAGATTCTTTGCAATGGTCCTGGGACCTGTATTCCTTTGTGTGTGATCGCTTTCTTGTTCAAGGTATACACACTTTAGAAATATTTTATCTACATTTTGGATGACCTTGAATNGATGTGGCAAAAAAGAATNTTATTTCACTAAGTTCTGGTCTCATCCGTGGTTACAGGTACTGGGAATTAGATGGTCATCTATCTTTTATGTTGAGAGTGTAGCAAGAGTGAAAAAGNTCTCGTTAAGTGGATTGCTGCTTTANAAGTTACGGATAGCTGATCAGTTCTTTGTTCAATGGCCTCAACTGCAAAAGAAGTATCCTCGGGCTCACTATGTCGGGTGCCTGATGTAAACTGGTTGGAACTCTCCTCACACCTAGATTTATTGCAATAACTTAGAATAGCTACAAAGCCTACACTCTCTCTCTCTCTTTATATACAGGATCTAGTCACATTTTCGTTATATTCGTTTTTGGTTGCTATGAACTCAAGTTTTAAACACTGAACTTTTTAAATCAGCTGTTCTGAAGTTGTTAATGCCATTGCACTGAGCTTACAATTTGATTTGGGTAAGCTTCTTCAAAACTATTCCCAAGTCATCCACTTTTTATTTAAATTAAGTCTACTTNCTGTTACAATGATGCAAAAAGATATTCATGCTGAGACTTGACTAGAGTTGCATCACAAAGGTATTCTGCTTAACACCATAGGCTACCTTCAGGCCGATAAGCTTACTCAGCTTATTTTTACTGCCCACTTGACCCTTCTGCTTTTGGTGGGTCAGGGGATTCTGTTGTTGAGATCCCATTGCTTTTCTTNAAGTTTTTGTCATCAAGATAGTGTTGGTAGGCATAGGATGTGAAACCCCAAATTGCTAAGATCATAGAAATCACCTTTAACCCATTCATTTTGTCATGGAAAATGATGACAGCCAGGATAGGAACCACGGGCAATCCCAAAACGCTTAT